GTTCCCAAGCCAGCTGGCAGGGGAACACCGCCTAAGCCTATGAGAGAATACAGTGTTTGGTTCAGGCATCATACGGATCCCAAGGAAGATCGTTGGTTCACAAGAGAGGAACTGGTCAAGACAGCTCCTCAGATCGTGGCAGAGTACGAACGAAGACTGAAGGGGAAGGCACCCGTGTGAAGCATCTCAGCGGACTTTTGAAGCTAAGGGGGATGGAATGCGAGGAATGAGCCCTCGAAGGGCCCTTATCGAACATGCACATGTTCTGGACAGTGGCCCTCAGCAAGCCCTGTGCCCGCCCTAAGTGAAGGCGGGCCTCATTATTCACAAGAGGCCAAATTTGATGATTTTCCATATGTGGGTACTCAGACAGTTGCAGCTCGCCAGTTGGTTATGCGGAAATGTGAGCCTCCCAGCTCTCTCCAGAAGCATGGACTACGCTGTACAGTTGGCCCAGGTGGTTGTGCCATGCATTGTGAGGCACATCACGAAGTAGCCACGGGCCTGAAGAAAATAGCATTGTCGTAGTATCTACCCCGGAGCCCCTTCAAATGCAGAAAACAGACGAAGTCTGGAAAATCCTAGCTGTGCCCAACTGTATCGGGCCCCGGCCCTCCACTGCAGAGAAAGGCCTGGGCACAGACACTGGGGCCCGACCAGAGCTACTGGAAGCTTCGCAGCCAGGCCCACACGCAGCCAACATAGGCTGCCACTTCCATATAGGAAGAGAGGCAGCCAGGGTCGAGCATTCTGGCCCACGCAGGCATTGCGGTCACGCTGCTGCGTCGCTGCACGAGTGGCTGCTTCGTACGTTAGTGGGCTGGGGCGCATACGGGCGCTTGGTGGTGAGAGGAGCGCTGCAGGGCAGCGGTGCGCTAGCAGCCATAGCGGGCTGCAGGGCGCAAGGGGTTAAGGGTTGATCGGTGGTCTTTGGAAGGAGGTGCAGAGAGAGTGGGGGTCAGGGGGTGATGAGGGGAGACGAGATACGTACCTGGGTGCATGAGGGAGGTCGGCTATGG